TCCATTTAGCGAGAAATCAGAAGAACCTGTAGTTGCTCAGACTCAGGCCTTTTAAGAAATAGGCAGAGAGAGGAGCTTAGCTTTGTTCATCACAGGAACTGGCACCTCATGGGTAACAACAGAAGGTTCCCAGAATGAATTAACTTGCAGGAGCCAGTGTGCCCTGTGCTGCTCTCAGCCCACAGGTGGGCAGGCAGGCAGCTACTACCATACTACACTCTCTGGTGGTCTGGGTCCCACTCCCGGCCCCATTCCCACCCATAGGGGAGGGCGGCCCCAGAACAAGTCTCCTCTCATCCACCATCATCTTTGCCCAAGATACCAACCTGGCTGTACCCATGTGGGATTTTCCTGCGGACAAGGCGCCTGGTTCACCATTTAGGATGAAACCCCTAGCCTTCCATTGCCAATTTGGTGAGACTCGCCAGCCAGGGAGGGGAGAAGGGAGGTCAGGCCAATTCATTCCAAGGGGCCTCACGGAATTGCTTCATTCAAATGCAGAAAGCTCTCTGGTTAAATCGGAGCCTTTCACTTCGCCTCAGGCATCTCTCTATGGAATGGCTTTCTTCAACTCCCCCCCATTAGGCTGCAGCTTCCAAAATGCAGGGAGGGAAGGAGGCTGCTGGGAGAGTGAGGGTGGATGTCTGAGAAACGCCACTTGTCTGGGAGAAAAAGAGCCCCCCTCTTTTCCCTAACCCGCTAAACCACTTGAGAATCATGGATGTGGGGACTGACGTCCTAGTTTACGTCTTCCTCACTGCGTGGCATGGGGCGGGGTCAGGGGCGGGATGGGGGGCGGAGTTAAAGGGGGACACCAAACAGATGATCTCGGTGTGTTGGAGTTCACAGGACAAACGCAGGCTTGGAGTCCCGAGGGCCGGGAGAGGCCTGGCAGGGGATGGTTTGACTCATCCACCCTGGGTTACGGGCCCAGCAAGCAAACTCCTAACTGGCGACGCTCTGCTGTAGGTGCAGGTTTTGATCATTCATCTTCAAGGTCGCTCGATCTGTCTGTCCTCCCTCTCCCACCCGCTTCCCACTGGAAGTCTTCAGTCTCGTGCCACATACCCACTGGCGATTTCACGCATCGCCTCCTCACCCTTAAGAAGAGGAAGGGTGATGGACAAACATGAAGGAACCCCCACTGACGGCACCTCCGAGTGAAGGGGGGG